TACGACGACATTCCCATGTAGGTAACCCGAAGTAAAATGTAGGAAATTGCAGTTTCATGTACAAATATACTACTCTCCATGAGCGAAGTAATAATCTGACAGTAGATGCACTTTTGAAGAAGTTAGTTGTCAAAACAAATTGGCAGAAGCCCAAATCACTGTTTTCAAGCGACATTGACATGATCACACAAAACCAGTCTTGAAGAAGTTTGTGACTACAGTTCGAAGATCAGCATAATCACCGAAAAGCAAAGAAAAGTTCACAGGTTATTCAAGGTGGACAACTTTTCACGACAGTTTATTTCTCGGTAGAAAGTTTGATATTTTGTTTATCGTGACGGATTCGCATTCTCAAAATAAAAGCATCAAAGGCAAAAAAAAGACAGATGCACTATCCTGTTTTCAATGACATGTACAGAAGACTTCATAAGTAAGGGGCGGGGACTTGCGGTGCAGAACGCGCAACGCACTTAAACCTTTTCTCAAACCCGGAGCATCTTTCTTCTTCTAGCGATTTCTAGAACTGAGCCACAGTTTTGAGGAAGGGAAGAGAGAACTGCGCTCTGTGAGCAATTTTCATTTTCCCGGGGTTCCTAGTCGCTCGTAGGTTTAGCCTTCAGGGTGTGGGAAATTGGTTTACCTGGCTCATAATCGTTTCTTCGCACCATCCAGTACAAAGCAAATCCAGCTTCTTGAGCAGAATTGTCTCACCTCTTCTTGGAAGAGCGCCAATTTCGAATCTTTCGAAAGAAATAGGGATTCTCTCAAATACAATTACCATTTCACCTGACGTTACTCTCTAGGAAGATACGATCACTGAAAGGAAATTTACACATTCTTCCGAAATTTCTTTTTTTTTCAATCCCACAGCAAAGCCATTCTTCAACTTTTGATAAAATTGAATAGTGGGGTCCAGCAAGCTAAACGATTTAGAACGAAACCTCCCCGAGCTCTTGTAAAGATGTTATAGAATTTCCTTGAATGGTGCAGGTTGATTTTGTTAGTAAAGAGTTAAATGAAGGGCTTTAATTGCGATTTGAACTGCTCATCCACATGTTATGCTCTTTCCTCTGGAAAATATTTGCTGCTGTGATGGCACTGCTTTGTTTGCAAAGGGCAATATGCTGTAAGCGAATGAGTTGTATTCAACCTTTTAGGTCACAGAACGTGAGCGTCGCGGTGATTACTGTGGTAAAACTGTGCAGATGATCCCACATTTCACTGATGCGATCATTCAATGGGTTGAACGAGTAGCCAGAATACCAGTAGATGGCACTAAGGAGCGACCCGATGTTTGTATAATAGAGGTGAGGAGTGTTATACGTACTCTTTTCTATATCCCTAATTCTTCGCTGGGGCAAATGTTAGCTGAATGCGTTTGCACATGAACAGCGAAGCTCTCAAGTTACCGAAAAATCAGCGGCGCTTCAAATGTGCAGTTTGTGTTCTTGTCAATTTAGGCCGTGTACAGTAGAATGTTTCTTGAGCGCCTGCTGTAACGGTGTAGTCGAGAACCGTATATTGCTTAGAATTTCCTTTACAATTTCCCAACAAACCTTTTTTTAGCTGGGTGGAACTATTGGTGACATTGAAGGCATGTCTTACCTTGCCGCTTTCGAACGCTTCCAGAGGCCAGCATTGAGAGTAAGTTTGTGAGATTTTTTTTCGAGTTTCAGGACTTGTTGAAAATTGAAAATCAATTGCTTTACAGGATCACCTTATGAATGTCCACGTGTCTCTTGTAATGCATCCGAACGCGACAGGTGAACCGAAAACCAAGCCTATGCAAAATTCGGTAAGATGTCTCAACAACGTGAACAAATCCTGGTACCAATCTTTATGTCGTGCAGGTGCGACATTTGCGTGCTGCTGGGCTTGTGCCGGATCTTCTTATTTGCCGCTCGTCTGAACCACTGCAAGAACATTTACGCGAGAAAATTGCAGCATTTGGTCTTGTGGATCTGGAACAGGTGAGAAATGCTATGCCTATTTTTTCCTGTTCTGATTTTGTTCTAAGAAAGGAATATTAAGTCGGTAGCCACTCGACTATGCATATTGCTATTGGATATTTGCACCGCTGTAAACGGAAGGGTGATATCATATCTATTTCCCCTACTTACCCATCTATTTCCAGGGAAGAATCATGAGGGCTTCTTCTTGTGTTGTTGTAACACACAAGATGGCTTGGGAAAGTGGATATCGGAAGGGGTCCTGTATAGCACTCTATTTCCTTGTGAAATGATAAGCATGTGCGGTGAAATTATTTGATATCAAGTTCCAAAATGCAATATACAACGACTAGAAGCAGTTGCAAATGCATTGCGATTCACGACAGTATTCTTTCCTTGTCGTCGAAATTTATGTTTTATAGGTCATTGGGGTACACGATATGTCTAACATATACAAAGTGCCGTTGTTGCTTCATGAGCAAAATGTTCTGGATGCCATAATTCATCGTTTACATTTGAAACCAATCAGCGAACACGTGAGGCGAAGTCTGAAGTTCAACATGTGCCATTGGACTCATCTCAGTGAACTGTTAGTCAGCTATGATACGGAATATTTTCATTGTTCTAATGTGGATCCCATTTCAGGTGTGATTTATTTACGGAAGAGGTTGTGATCGCCTTGGTAGGAAAATATGTGAAGATCAACGACGCGTACGCATCCGTGAACAAAGCTCTCAGTCACGCTGCCATCCACAGTAAACGAGCCATAAAAATCAAGGCACATTTTTCTACTACTGTCTGCTGCTCGCGCTCTATCAAGTAAATGGTTGAAGTTTTTCTAGTTCGTAGATTCTGAACTTTTGGAAGATGGAAAACCAGCCGAATTAAAAGCGAAATGTGACGCAGCATGGGATACTGTTAGGAATGCTGAGTAAGTTGGTTGTTTATTTTAACCTTTTGCCAAACCATTGCTGAGTTAGTTGAGTGTTTGTTTTCACCTCTTGCCAGTTGCCAGAATCCTAGTCTTACGCTTAGTCTTTTACAGTGGTATTATTGTTCCTGGTGGTTTTGACACACGCGGCGTCGAAGGGATGATCAAAGCTTGTCAGTATGCCAGGGAAAACAATGTGCCGTTCCTGGGTAAGGATTTTTTTAAATTGCCATTTGGTTAAAATGAATCAATATCAATTATTTGTTCGTTACAGGAGTGTGCTTGGGTATGCAGTGCGCGGCTATAGAAGTGGCTCGCAATCTCCTCGGCATCAAGAACGCCAACTCAACCGAGTTCAACAAGAGTTTGCACGAGGATGAACAGGTGATCATAAGTTCGGGTCATCGATGAACAGCTGATCGGTTGAACGTGGGGCCTGGTCACTTTCGTGTAAAATTAGCGGTTAAGGCGACTAAGTGCACGTAAAAATTAAGTATGCACACAATAGAACAAGAATTTCTGCAGAGACGGATAAGCTCAACGTCCTACCTCGTGGGATAGTCTAATGCCCCTGGTTGAAATGTTTACTTTCGCTCAACGTTGCACTGGAAATTTATTTTTCCTCTATGTCTATTCGCTCAAAAGAGAAATGCCTCAAAACCGACCTTGTGGCGCTAAATTAACCGCCTACGAACTTAAGCGGTATTTATTTATTAATGTGTAAGATCAGGTGGAATGGGAGAGTCAGCTGTTTATTGATGGTAAACTAGCGATTAATCTTGTCGTAAGACGTTCCTCATTTGAAGATTCGAGTCATTGCAAGAACAGCGACTCTCCCATTTTTCACTGTCAGGTATCATTCGAATGAAATGACAATTTCAGGTGATAATCGATATGCCGGAGCACAATGTGGAGCACAAAGGCTTAGGAGGAACAATGCGTCTGGGACGACGTACAAGCGTGTTTCTAACGGAGAACTGCAAATTGCGTGAGTCACACAGCTGTAGAGGTTGTTTTGAATTTTTGGTAACTTCAGTGGTTAAGGAAAACTGTATGGACGTAATGAAATCGAAGAGCGTCATCGTCATCGTTATGAAGTCAACCCACGGTTTGTGCCTGAACTCAGCGAAAAAGGGCTGCTTTTTGTCGGTATGCGTGAATCGTAAAAGGATGTTAGAAATAGAAGTTTTCGTACACTTCAGAAAATTTTTCCTAGGCATCGGTGTTGACGAAACATCTTGCACATCGCTCACGAAGCACAATCGTACGCAATCGAGTGCTGCTTTGATGAATATGGCTGTGGACCATAATTCAAATGGGGTTGGTTCTCAAATCATTTGGCATAAAGTTTTAGGGCCGTATGCTATCCTTCCCGAAGCTAGGTGTCGCAAAGTTCTCTTTAAATTTATATTGCTTTGAACGATGTCGCTTTTTCATTTTCATGCATGTTTTGCTTAACCTACATACATACATTTTATTGTAGGCCTTTTATCAAGGGTAATCCCAATTGGGAAGACAGAGAAAATTTAAAAGAATTCTCGACCCCTTAACCCCTTCAGGGAGGATAGCATACGGCCCTTAGGACGTGAGCAAACCAGCCCTTTTGGCGCTTCGGCTGGGTACCGTGTGCTGAATGTTGGGGAGGGGATGGAGTCTCCGACGGTAGACGGACCACTTCAACTCGGTCCTTGGAACCGACACAATTTGGTGCTTACCTCAGAACTAAGCCTTAAAGAGAGGACGGGTCCGTCCCCTCTCCAAGGCTTAGTCCTGGGGTGAGCAAACCAGCCCTTCTGGCGGAGCTGCTGGACCAGCTGCACCACTTGCGTCAGTACTCTCCTATCGTACCAACCGAGTTGAAGTAAACCGTCGACCGTTGGGGACCCCATCCCCTCCCCAACATTCAGCATACGGTCCCAGCCGAAACGCCAAAAGGGCTGGTTTGCTTACCTCGCTCCTTAGTATCCCATTCGAAACATCATTATTAAGTTTTCTGCAAATTGCTTCTTATAAGTAGGCGATAATGTTACATGCTCTGCTCATTTACTGCAGTAATATTCACTAGTCTACAAATTTCCCTCAAGTTCTTAATTATTATATTTGAGTGTAGATGAAAAAAATAGCCAGACTATTCAAACAAACATGTTAATACGTGTTCAAACATGACGTGATCGGGCAGTATTTCTACCTTTCATGTCATGCCCACATTCCAATCGGTGGATTATTCGAAGGTTCTTCAACATGAGAGCCCGTCGGGCTCATCTTCCGCCACTCTGCAGTGGTCATTACTATAATAATTGATTCTAAATCCATCCAAACAGATGACTCTGTCGGTATCAGTCCACTCGTCGTCATCTTTGTTGTGGTGATGTTATGATTATGTAGGTAGTTATCACTATCGCTAAACAACCTCAGTTCTTACATTTGTGTTGGGGAGGCTTTTAGACTTTTTTCTTCAGAAGGTAGTCTAGTTATCATTGCAGGATCTTCTGAAGAAAATAGCGGATCTTTGTCATTGCGGAGGCGATGGAGTGACTCGTCCTGCTCTGAGGATGGAGATGTGTGAAATGAAAGGTTCATAGGTTTCATTAGATTATGTCTTCTCGGCTTATCTGCGGTTTACAATGAGTTTCGAAAGTTATATTGTTACAAAATTAAGCTGTTTTCCAGATCACCCATATTTCGTTGGCGCTCAGTTCCATCCGGAGTATCTGTCCCATCCTCTGCAACCAAGCCCACCTTTTCTGGGACTTTTACTTGCGGCGACTGGACAACTGCAGGTACTATTTTGTTCTGTGTCTATTGTTATGTGCGATTGAAGGAGGCGACAAGTCCCATTTCATTTTCCTGCGTAATATCTCTACTGACACGTAATGTTTTAGGGTTATCTTAGTGGTTCAAAAGTACCGACACCGATGATTTCACTAATGGAGGTAGCGTTTCCTCAACTGGCCAGCATGAGAATTTGATTGTTACGTCTTTGTGGTTTCTAGCTCCCGCATAGCTAATTCTTTTCAACTCGAACAGGTCTGGGTGTTGTGTAATTGCAGTCGCAATAGGTGATATTTACATTACATTTCAAGTTGGCGATGTTCTTCATGTCTTATCAACGTTGTTGGAATTCAATACGGTTCTGATTTTAGGGTTAACACATTGTAGGTTTCCAATGTCCTTCCTCACTGGTTGATTATTCCCGTTGATATTCCATTTGTTGTTCTTCTCTTTTATGACTTAGCTAGCGTCCTGGCATTGAGATCACTACCATCCTGTTGAAACTTCGGTTGAATCTGGTGCGAGGCACCTTCAGATACTCACACCGTTACCCTTTATTCTTTTTTCTTTAAAACAACTATCATGGTGATAAATTCATAAGTTGTATAAACGTTAGTGTTGCATCCAGTGTCAAACTACTGAAGTGTTTGAAGCTCTGAGATATTTTTTATCGAGCCCGTTGTTCCTAAAATTGTGTTTATTTGTTTTCGAACTGGATTTTTTTTCAGCGCAAGCATGGCCACCACAGCCACATCGGCCTACCATGTGGCGCAGTTAATAGATAAGATGATGTCAGTTGACAAGGTTTGTTCGATTCTTCCCTCTCAAGAAGAAGAAACCTGCCACATTCTGTTGAGATACTCTCCTGTTTGTAAAGACCACTTACCTGTAGATAAGTTTGGAAGAGAAATGTGCTTCTTGTCTTTTATTCAACAGAGCTTCAGTCGTAACCATATTTACACTAAAAAGACGAAGCTGCAATCTATAAAGGATTTTTGAATGTGCAGTGAAGACAGAGAGCGAAAGTGACAGGATCGATGGTATGGTCGTGTGAGATGTTCGGAATTAAAATGAAAAAGAAGGAGCATTCCGAATTAGTGGTTTAAGGGGGGTAAGGGGCGCGTGGAGCTAACCCGTTCAGTGACCGAGTATATAGTGGTTCCGAAAAAAGGTTTGTTCTGTACATTTCTACCCATCCTTCTCAAAGTTATAGACTTTTAATAGACTTATTTTACCCTTCTTTCACGTTTCAGGATTATCGTTTTATGGCTGTAAATGATTTAATGAGGGAACTTCAGACCAACAATATGAGGCTTGACGACGACTCCGAAAAGAAGGTATCTGTATTTGGCGATAACCTTTTGAATTTGAATCGCAATAAAAAACCATAGAAGCTTATCAAGCACGCTGAAACAAAAAACATAGCTAGGAACGTATGAGGGAAGGCTTTTGAATGGGGTTTGAGATAATTAAATGCGAAACTTTGTATTTCTTGTCAAAATATGGACAGCGAGTTCCCATGCGGTCGACAGACTGCAGCCCACAAATGGGCTGCCTGATGTCCAAAGTGTTATCCAAAGAAAACAAAAGGTTTCCTTATCCAAATTTTTTTTCTATTTCCAAATCAATTCAAACCTTAAACAACGCTTGCTTGTAAATCGATATCCATGTTCAAATACGACATTTCAAGGTTGTACGAATGCTCATTCGGCTTTTGGATGATAACAATGGTGAGGTGCAAAACTTGGCTGTCAAATGCCTTGGTACTGTCACACAACGAGTCAAGGAAGCTCAAGTCAGGAGATTTTTTGCCCTTGTTATACTTAGTTTACCATTCAAAGAACAAAGAACTTCTAGGCAGAGACATTGGTGGATGCGTTATGTTCTATGATGGTCGCTGGATCAGAATCACTGCGAGACGTATGTCCTCAAAATGTAGTAGACGGTCAAGTAAGCTTGTAATAACTGTTTCTTATAGGTCAGTTCCATTGCGCTTAAAACTGTTGTTGGACACCTACCAGTAGCAAATACCGCGTTTGTCACGAATCTAATGAAAAGATTGGTTCCGAAATTGAATGCTGCTTTGGGTAGGGACACTAATTTTCAGTAGGTTCATCATTATCCGTTAGTGAAGCGATTCATTACAGAACAAACAAAGCCGAATGACTCAGTTCGCCTAGAGGTGGTCGATGTTATTGGAGATGTGCTCACACGATTTGGCTCTCTCATCACATCTGTTCATAAAGAAGTTGGTACATTCTCTAGTAATACTAGAATTTTTCCAGTCTTTTCTTATAAAATTCGCTACCCTTTTCGCTAAGGGTATTAAAGGGCTTGAGAATGCGAAGCGAAATAAAGGCACTCTAAGAACGTTGGATGTCCCTTGCCCTAAATACCTTTGAACATTTAGTGGACCTTATGTTGATCCGTCTCAGGCAGTCATTCGTTTTGTACATTGAGAACAAGAATATGAATAGTTCGGTGACTATGTTTAGGTCCTTACAAAATTAGTCGCAGCTAGGTCAAAAAAGAGGTGCAAAGAAAAAGTTCCTCCAAGGCCAAGATAACATTGGGAAGAAAAACATGAAAAACAACTTATTTTCTATTCACTCAAGAGTCTTCCACTGATGCTCGTTTATCTGAAAAAGGTTTTCTCGATATCGGTGGTTTTCCATGAGTATGATTTTAGTATTTTTTATTTTATATTTTCCTACTTTTTTATTTTGTTCATTTTTTATTTATTTACTTATTATTATTTTTAGTAGACGGTGGTGTTTTTAGACCCAGAAAGTTCTACTTGATCAGCTTCTGCTCGAACGACCTGCTCTCAAAAAGAAGTCTACAATTGCTTTGGGCGCAATGATGGCTGTGTGCTCACATGAACTGTTCAAAGACACAATGGATGTTTTTGTGGAAAGGTGTGTATGGCTTATTACCAAATTTTTGCCAGTTTCCTGGAGTGCGGCACTTAACCCGAAGCCAAGTGGTCAGATTATTGTGTCTTCTGATGATACAAAGCACCCTATGAATTCTTTTGATCCTTCTTGTTTGTCATATAACTGCGGAAGTATCATCGACGCGGCCTGCGTGTGCTCATTAGTTTCTAATTGGGTTTTCACTTGGTCAATATTTAGGTTGTCTGATGCAAAGGGGACACATTCAGTTCGCACCTATGTTGTCGCCTTGACATGTGTGGCAAAATCCAGCGGACCACGATTTGCAGAATATATCCCGAAGGTATTTTTGGAGCTTACGAGAAGTTTTGTTTTTTGATCTCTTGCATTAATAAATCTCTCTCAATGGAATTTGGGTAAATGTGTGATGAGGAAGACTGTCTAGGGAGTTGACCGATGTAGACTGTTTTGTCTTGCGAGTTGAAGAATAAAGTTGAATAAGAGTGAAAGTGGTGTGATCTCAGGTTGCTCCGAAAATAATCGAGCAAGTCGAGGCTGCAGACGATGACGAGCTAAAGGAGGCTTTGCTGCAGTCGTTGGAAACCTTTTTATATCGATGTCCGAGGGAAATGGCTGCATATCAGGACAAAGTGCTTAAGGTGAGCTTAGAGAACTTCATTTGAATTGCGTGATTTGAAGAAATTTAGATTGTCACTACCGACCTTACGTATGACCCAAATTACTCATATTCGGATGACGAAGAGGAGCAGTCTATGGAAATTGGTGGTGGGCGTGGTATCGGCTGGTTTTGCTTCGAATGGCTCGCAATAAAACACTATTTGTTTCATATTAAGATGGCGACACCGATGAAGACGATGCGGAAGACTATTCTGATGATGACGACATGAGCTGGAAAGTGCGCCGTGCATCAGCGAAAACAATAGAAGCTATGGTAGTCCATTTACCACATTCTTTGCATATGCCTATTCTACTTTCTTTTTCAAGATTGTTTCGCGACGGGATCAGCTTTCCAATTCCGTCCAAACGTTGGGTCCATTGTTGATCTCACGTTTACGAGAAAGGGAAGAAAATGTGAGGATTGACATCTACAACGCCTACATTGCAATCCTTTCTCAGGCTCGTCTCGTCGTTCCTAACGCTCTTGCTGCTGTTTACGTAAGTTTACTGTTTGTTCTAATTTTTGTCAGTTATTATTTACTTGAAAGTTCTTCCATTAGCGTGGGAACATGTTTTAACAAGATTTGGTGATTGTCCAACATAAGCTTTCAATGTGCATTGATGGTTGCCGGAAAAGTAAAGTAAGTAGATTTAAGTAAAGTAAATAGATTTCATATGGCTTGCTTTATGTAGCAATTCTCTCCTCCCGCCTATATTCTCCTCTCAAGTGACTGAAACTGCTAATCTATCCAATTAATTAATGGATGTTCGCGGCAGAGATACTAGTCTAGAGAGTTGAGCCGCTCGGAGGGTTGAAGCTGTCGGAGGGTTGGACAAATATTCAAGAATTTTACGACCTCTCTCCCCGCGTTCTTGGCGGACCTCGGATTCGGTCCCTCTTTTCGTCGGGCCGGTATAGCAAGAAGACCGGCTGCCGACGTCATTGGACTTTTTGGGGTCAGACGGGGACGGTGGCGCGGCGGCCTTGGCCCTGGACGGTTGACCGGATGGTAGAGTATTTCGTCTCTGCGAGTTGTGAAGAGATAAAGTTGAGAAGAGTGAAGAGCTGGGGGGTGGTGGTTGCAGGTTGCCTCCGAAATAATCGAGCAAGTCGAGGCTGCAGACGATGACGAGCTAAAGGAGGCTTTGCTGCAGTCGTTGGAAACCTTTTTATATCGATGCCCTAGGGAAATGGCTGCATATCAGGACAAAGTACTTAAGGTGAGCTTAGAGAACTTCATTTAAATTGCGGTTTAGCGTGAGAAAAATTGTAGATGTTACTACCGGACGCGTTTGACGGTATGACGCCGGAGATAGCTCAGTATGTCGGGAGGGATGACGAGAGGGAGCAGTCTAGGTGGAGAATTGGCTGTGGGGGTGGGCGTTGGGGTAGGCGGCAGTTTTGCTTGCGAATGGGGGCTCGCGGAATACAGAAACACATTTGGTTGGCTTAGTTAAGATGGGCGGACATGATGAAGACGGAGGTGCGGAAGACGTAGATTCGGGATGGATGACGACGAGAGAGGGCTGGAAAGTGGCGCGGCATTCGAGCGAACAGATTAGGAGCGGTATGGCTAGTCCATTTACCACACTCTCTTTTGCATATGTGCCGGTGATTCTACTGTTTTGTTCAGAGATTGGTTTCGCGAGCGAGAGCGGAGCTTCGTCCAATTCCGTCCAAGAAACTTGGCGTCAAGTGTTGGAACTCTCACGTTTAGCGGGCGAAAGAGAGAGGAAATGCTGGAGGGATTGGACAGTCTACAACGGCTGACATTGCGGATTCCTTTCTGCAGGCTCGTCGTCGTCGTCCGAACGCTCTTTGCTGCTGGTTTAGCGGTAGAGTTTACTGTTTGGTCTGAATTTTGGTCAGTAGGTTTGAGTTCAGGAAGTTTTTTGTTTTCAATGAGCGTGCGGGGAGGCATGTTTGTGTAAAATTAGGTTAGGCGGTCCAAACATAGCTTTCAGGATTGCGCGGCATGCATGATTGGCAGAAAAGTAATGTGATTTCATATCGCTGTACAGCAGGTCTCCCCTCTTGCATATTTTCTCTTTTCTACCTTAAGTAGCCATAAGTGCTATGTATCGAATTAATTTAATTGAACAAGTTTGGATGGCCACACTACTGCGCGTCATACTGTAGGCCTTTCCGAACGGGCCAACAGATGAGGCGGGAGCCATGATTGCTCTTCCTATTGTGTGTGTTCTTTTTTCGTTGGCACACTTCGATATCACAAGCTATCTGATTGAAGAAAAAGTCATCCATGATCACCTTTTTCTAACTAACAACTTGTTGCGTCAATTGTGGATGGATGTATATGTATGTCCGTATCTATGACGGTCCGCCCATAAAACGCTTGTGATTTCCTAAAAGGTTCGATCGAGAGCAATAGAGAGGAATTGACCTCAAACACGCCTATAGTCCAAATCAGTGTAGAGGTTTCATGAGGACATGGCGTCATCATCGTGGTAAAACCATCTACTACACAAGACACCATTTTTGTGCGCGTTTCCCCCCCCCCCCCTCCCCATGTGATGTAGACCCCACAAGTGTAAGTGAGAAAGTGAAGGAATAACGCATGTGCAGAGAAAGGGGTGTTTCACAACTGCGTAGGAACAAAAAAGGTATAAACATATATGTAATGACTGCAGCTTGCTGGCAGGCATAAAAGGGAAGATTGTTACCATGGTTCGTATGATTAAGAGGCGAAACGAACCATATTACTTGTATAATAATTTTTTTATACACTATTGCTTTCCTTTCTTTTTTATAAAAGACTAGCACCATATACCGCTTAATTTTGCTCATTTTGTATTTTACTACTTCCAGAAAGATGAAGGTGAGGAACCAATCAAAATTGGTACCACACTTTTCTCCCCGTCAGCTTTGTCTGGAGAGCAGCAACAGCTACTTGAAGCCATTGCCGCCCAATCAGAGCCTTTGTTGAAGGTTTGTTTGAAAGGTTGAAGTTGTTGCTGCATTCTTTTTCAATAATGCGCTTTCAGGCTGTAATGAAGCAGCTAAGGTTGAAATCGCCGAAAACTCGTAGCCTTTGTTTTGATTTGCTAGCCAACTTCGTCAGGTGAGCGCTTTTCTGTTGTTTGAAAGAATTATGACAAAATTCCAATTTTTGAAGAACTTTGCCGGGATCGTTGGCTTCGTACCTTCCAAGTCTGCTGCCTGGTTTATCGAATGCTGTACTTGATCGCAATAGCGGAGCTCCCATGAAAATCGATGCTCTCTCTCTACTTGCTCGGGTCATTAAGTGTCATGATCACAGTGTAAGCTATCTATGGAAAATTCAAGGTTTATTTAATCTCTTAAATTTGCTTCATTCAAGGTCTTTGCGCCTCATCTTGACAGCATTGTTCAGTTAACAGTGGGCGCTATTCAGGACAGTTTTTACAAGGTATCTCAGCAGTTGACTACCAATTATTTTTGAGTAGTCTGAAGAAGATTCTAATGCAATCATACTATGGTTTAGGTATCAGCTGAGGGGCTTAGTGTAGCATCACATCTCGTTCCAGTAATTCGTGATTGTGGCTGTGGTAATCTAGTGCCGACGCTTTATAGTGCTATTTTTGAGAAATTGAAAATTAACGATATTGATCAGGTAAAAGCAGCTCTTACAATTCTTCTGTAAGTTTTTTACCAACTTTGCGTTTAGGAAGTCAAGGAGCGCGCTATCTACGCAGCAGGTCTCTTCATTGCCACTTTTGCCGATGATATGCCTGCAATGGTACTTTTTTCTTTATTTATATTTCGAATCATTTTATTTTGTTTATCGATTGATACCGAATTCTTTGCTTTTTGGTGCAAGGGTATCATTCTCGCTCGCTTACATATATTAGACCCATTGCAAG